TCCTCGCCACTATTATATAAACGGTCAATCAACTGTTGATTTCTCTACTAAATATATACATAAATCTGCGTTCCTCTTAAATTTGCATAAAATATTTATTCTTCGCCAACAATTTTTTAGTAGTATGGTCTTCACGGAATCGAAATATTCAAAATACGTTTACATTTATATAATATTATAAAACCCCATTTCAGAGAACGATATAAAAAATTATAAATCACGTTTTCCATTTACAAATAATAAAAAAAAACACATAAATACAACAAGTCTATTCCATTTAGATCATACAATAATAATATTACATAATATAACAGTGGTTATGTCGATTATTGAGAAGTGAGAGGAGAAAAAAAAACAAAATTATTAATTTTCGTCTACAGAGTATATTATAATATACAGTACACACTCGCTAAAACTCCGAGTAGACCGTTTTAAATTAATCAACATGTATGCAATATAAATTAAGGTAATATAAATTTCTATTGTTGGCAATAAATAATAGTTTATTATTTGTTTAAGCACTTACAACACAAATATTATGTATACTATTGCCACAAGTATACATATTACATATACAATATACATGTAGTATCATTTTGAACCCTTTACTTTACCGTATAATAATAATAATAATAATAATAATAATAATAAAAACAATATGCATTCTCGTTACAATGTATGTTCACCCACGTAAATCATGTTAATTTAACATTAGTCACATAAAATAATTTGCCAGACTAAAAATACACAGAAAAATATTCACAATGAAGACTTTTGACAGAGTTGTTTAATAATCTATTACAAATCATTTACATAAGTGAACGTGCCGTCGACACCATATAGATATTTTGAATGAATGCAACGGAAATCCCAAATACAACGATTCAATACCAATGATAAGTACAAAGTTGTATTTGCGTACAAGATAAAAATAGGCCAGAAACCAAAAGGTAAATAATAGTCCAACAATAATAACAGTACAATATTTATAAAACAGGTATCACGAGACAAAATTTATAATTACTATGAATAAATTCGGACTAAAATTTGTTAAGTTGGATTAATTTAACTTGCTATGAAAAATTTAAAAAAAAAAAATCATAAACCATTTTCGTTTTCGATGTCTAGAATAACAGAATAATACAAGACTAAACTAGTACATTATGTGTACAAGGTTTATTTACATAAACACATTGACTTAATTTCCATATTATCTTTTACCTGATGATTTTCTGTGTCATCATAATTTTCACCGATTCCGATACTCCATAATATCCCGTGTACAATATATCGAATATATAATATAAGATTACCATTTTTTCCCTTTGATTTAACATCGATTTTTATCAATGTTATTATTATTTATATATGCCTTTACGAATTTGAGTTATTGCCATTTGAACAACTGATACGTACAATGATTTACTTTCAATTCTCATCAATTATTTAAATCCATTGTCATAGCACGTTTAATCTATACGTAGTTCATTCGTTCATTTAAAGTAACTAAATCTTTGTTGAAAAATTATTAAATGTTATTTTAAATTATTCACGTTTTTTATACATGATATTAAAATATTCTTAAAATAATAGTGATCTCATTAAAAATTATTTCATAAAATTCACTCGATTTATCGCCATACAAATATATTAAAGTAATATAAACGGTATTATTCATGTATTCACATATCAAAGGTCAACCTTTTGTAGCTTTTTCACAATTTTCGAACAATTATCACCAAAACGGCTATGAATATTATTACATTATATATTCATCTATATCAATATGACCTCCATAACATCGATGGTAAATGTATAACAATAATTCGAAAATAAATAGTAAAAACTAACACTATTCTCTCTAAAGCAAAAGTCTGATAACAAGTGGGAGGTTAACGAAGACATCGGGAACATTTGCATTTTATAACATCAAAGAGAGTGGGCTGATATAAATAAATAACGGGATATACCGCACTCTCACACACGCACACTATGTTTTAATATCGCTGCCGGCTAAAGTTTTAAAAGTTATGTGTTTCATTAAATTTGACTGTGGACCGACCGCCGGCTGCTGTTTACAACCCCTCGGAATCAAAATGAAGCCACCACATCGCTTCGTTCTCCGAAGTTAAATAATAATAATAATCGTAATAATAATAAGCCACTTCAAAAAGAGCTACCGCAACCTAACATTATAATCATAATCATAATAATAATAAACCTTAGTGCTATGTCTACCATACTCACCGTTCCATCCGTTCACCTCCCAAAGCACCTAAGTAAAATATTATAATACGTTCCTATCATTTTTTTTTTTTTTTTTTATCAGAAAGAAACTACGTTCACTTCAAGAGGATTTTACAAAAAACCAACAACGTTATGTTAAGTACTCTACATGCAAATTGTATTTCCCCTACTAATGAGCTAAACGAAAGCTAAATTTTCTCAGTTTCTATGGATAACATTCATCATTCATTATAGAGACAAATAGATCTTTAGTTTTGAAAAGGCGACGTTGGTTCAAGTGCTCAACCATATTTATCTTCTCAAACATGAATTTTTAAATATTAAATATTAAAACTTGAATTTCTATTTTTGTTTATTTAAAAATAAAAGTTTCACTTTTTTGTGTATTCCTCAGGCATTATAACTATTTACTATAGATTAAATATATTTATTATTATAATCAATTATTTGATTTTAGTTTTAACATGTATAATTTACTAACTCTTTAATGTGACATTAAGTACAGTTTATGTACCCTTACCGTAGTATACCATGATTGTTACCAAATATGTTTGATATAATAAAACGACTGTAAATTCTAGATCAGAAAATTTATCTAATATTTCTTTATAAACATGCCAACAGAATTCAAATTCAAATGTTGCCAAATATATAAATTTCTCACAAAAACAAATTAGAAACACACACATCAATTTAAAAAATAATAATTCATATGTAATTGGTTAAATACTAATATTGCTTAATAATTAAATTTAACCGATTTAATTTTTATGAACTTGTGATAAAAACTATATGATACATATTATATAAAGCGTAATATCTAGTAAAAATATTATAGTGTTTGTAAAAGCAAGATTAAATATAAAAACGGATAACCGACAGCGACTAAATGGGATAAGGCAAAGGAGATGATGAAAAGTAACCTAACATTTGGGTCTAAGTGCAATGAGAGTAAAAACATTTCTACAGAACACCTTTAATGGACATTTGTAAAGTCCTATAAATTGAGGAAGAGTTATAAATCAGCGGGCTAAGGAAGTGCAATTTATTCCAACGTGACTTGAAGTCTTAGAACAATAATCCATAAAATTTTAAACGGTTAATTTCTAAATGTACATTCAATTCATTCTGCGTACAAAAATTAGAAGTGCCTAATAATTTTAATAGGACTTTTCTCATTTTGTTACACAATTTACGTATACAAATTCAAATAATAAGTAAAATCTCATTTCTTCCCTCACCCCTATTATCCGACCACCTAAAAGACAGTAGTTCACTTTCTTTTTTGTTTAACTTTTATTTATTTTTTATTTTTTAACGAGTGCTCGTTAAAATTCTTCAAGAAGACATTAAGATCGTTGATTAACGAGCGTTTTATAATAATAAATTGGTGGGGGCTAGCAATTGCAAGTTTTTTGTTCTGTTCAATCGTAAATGCTGCAGCAACATGAATTTATAATTAATTAATCTCGTTAAGATAACGTTTGGAGTGGACAAAAGACAAATACGAATTATCGGATCTTCTAACCAATCTTTTTTATATTATTCTTATTTCAAATACTGTGAAATAGATAAGGGTAGTGTTTTAATTGGCAGAACCGATAATTAAAATTTACATTACGATAAAAAGTTAAAAATAATACGCACAATATAATTTTGTATTATATCATCGTGTATATCACAAACGAATACATTAGCGTAATATGTTCTGTGAAAATGTACTTAATCGTTTATTTTACATTTGGATAATGTTAATGGAGTTTTGAAGTTGAATTACATTGTGTGAATATATATATATATATATATAAATGCTGTATTTTAGTATAGTATTTATAATATGTCAATAACATGTATTATATGTTTGTTTATCACATGTACATGAGATCAATAAAGTATTTGACAAAGTTTACAAAACTATACAAACAAATACAACGTGAAATCTATTCTAATCAAAAATGTCACCAACAAATGTCATTATACATACCTACGATCTACCTAAAAGTTTAATACTGACTCGCAATAACAGAGAAGTATTAAAAATATATTTTGTCACTGAAATAAGTATATTATTTTGAAATATAATATATGTGTAGTTATTATATAAAAGTATCAGCAGCAATCAATATAGCGACGCAATTTTAATTTACCAGTTAACATGAGCAACTATATTCTAGAAATCAATTCCGGAATATCTTCGGAGAAAATATTAAGTTTAACACTGACATTTTAAAACACGTATCGGAGGTATTTAGAAATAAATTCACTAACTTCAGACGACAGTTAAATGCTTTAGACTCAACTACAACAAGTAATAATATATTTTTAAAGTGCATGTTGTCTACACTCAGAGTGTGACAGATTTTAATCTCGAACGTAACACGTGTCATGTACACACAATTTATAGCTTTTAGCATCAATATAAAATACGTAGGGTTCGGTAGCACATACATTTTTCTTCTGTGAATGATAAATATAACAATATTATATTTAAAAATTAAAAAGAAAAAATCTACTCCGTCATTCAACTTACTATCCTCCTTTATACGTACATGAATATAAAACGCGCGATGGTCTTCCTTATACGCAAATTACTTTCAAGTATTGGTCACACAAAACTGTAAAAATAGTATTATAATACAATAATCGTAACGGCGAAAATTAATGATAAATACTCGAGGATATATTATATTATATTACGATTATATTATGATGACTTTATTAACTTATTAACCGTTAAAAATCGTGTATTTCAGACCTGCGGGAAAGTGTTTGGGAACGCGTCTGCACTGGCCAAACACAAGTTGACACACAGTGATGAAAGGAAGTACGTGTGCAGCGTTTGCAGTAAAGCTTTCAAAAGACAAGACCACTTGTAAGTGAAGAAAAATAAACTATCTATATTCTATACATATTAAAATAGACGATTGTAAAATACAGCATACTTATATGTTATGTGTGTGGCGTTTGAACCGTCAAACCATCCTGTTATTCTAAGTGCGCCAGAAAAATATTAGTTTTTTTTGTGTATTTTATTTTTTATGTTTTATATTATATATTTTTTTCGTATCACCGCACACATACACACTCGATCATAATTTCATCCGTCTCGGTTGATATTTTCAAATTATACCGTATTTACATAGATATATTTTTATTTATTTATTTATTTATTTATTATTAATTTTTTTAAACCTCCGAGAACGGTCGTAGTCTAACAATAATTTATGTTCACATAGGACCTTTTTTCATATTTATTGTGACCTTCTCTCCGTTTCCCACTACCTCTCACCGCGACCATGACCACCGTTACTACCCCTCCAGCCACCCGTTCTGACTCACCGACCAACAACGTCCAACACCATCCCATTACTGCCGCCACCGCCACCGAACTAGTCGCCGGCAATAGCCACCATAACGGTCCCGCTCGCGCTCATACAGCGGTTGACTGTTGTACCCCATATCCCCTTAGCCGGTGCGCCTGACTTACGTATATCGACAAGTATCGGTTTTCATTACGTCGGGAAATTGAAAACGTAACCCCGCCTGGGATAAGTATAACCGCATCGATATTATTGCCTAAGTACCTATGAGCGTGCATGATATATTATTACATAAATGGTATTTTTCCGACCCCTCTCCTCAACAAACACACATACACACTCGTGACCTAACCGCAATGCAAGCTGCTCAGAATATCTACATATTACACCATGCATAGGTTTAATTTCAGTGCCATTAATAATAATAGTAACATAAAAATACTTATTGCAAAATAAATTCGCATAAGAAACCCGAGACCCATAGTGTTTTTTTTCGTAAATTGTAAAATGTATTCCGATCACATGTATGGCAGTGTCGTTGTCTGGAAAATCGAGTATGCACATTATCTACCAACACCCAAAGGTAATGTTATATACCTATGCGAGTTAAAAACCAAATGGGTGACAACCCACCCCTGGGTGGATGAGTGGATAAATTGGTGATTCGGGAAAATTACGTCATATGTAATAATACATACATATATAAACAGTCTCGTTTTCAGTTATGGTACGTGCAGAGTTTTCCAAGTAGGAAAAATTAAAAACGGACAAAGACCACCACGCCCTCACACAAGAGCCCACGCACGTATCGTTCAGGTATATATTATACGCATTTTTATCACGCTCCTTGCGGCTGTCCATTTGATGGAGCGAATATACCGTACGTAACCTTTAAACATCCAAATGCCAACTAAAGAAAACGTCAATTCGACAATGTTTCTCTTATTTAAAAATAAAATCCTTTGACATTTCCTCTCCATCTGCTCACCCGCATGACCTGTGGTTATGTATTCGTAATGTAGGTCAGACAAGGATGAACTAAATTCACTAAAATTCTACTAAAACAATGCATAGTTTTTTTTTCGTTTCAAAAATATGGTTCTAACATCAAACTCATCTTAAAATTAAAATGTTTACTTAATAAATGAGCATTATAATTAAAATTAAATATTCTAGTTAAATCGTACACATCTTTTTAAATCATTGTTTTAGTAAGATAATTTATTGTGTTTAGAATACATACTTATTTTATTTAAATAAATGCATAATAATATGACGAATTTTAACAATAGTATTTTTAATACCAATATTTTAAGTTTTAACGCAGTTAATAACGAAATAATTTCAAACTCGTTAAAAGGATCAACACCGATATTCTAATAACAAAAGTTGAACAGTCAAGTGTATTAATTATTTAACTATTTTAATTAAACACACATATTTTATAAATAGTTTAAGATATGTTCATATAGGTATTTCATATTTAGTTTAGAATACATTACTCTAAACTTAAGCATTTAATATTATATTAACATTTATTAAATCTTTCATAAACTTTGGAAATGTGTATTTATGATGAACCTTACTTAAACATAGCGCAATCATAATATTCGAGTTCTGTGTAATTAAAGTTTAGAATATTATTTATGTATTTTTCAAAATGTAGTTTTGAGAGTTTTGTTTAAATAAATTACAAAAAGATCATCATTATGCAGTATATGACGATACAATATTAAAATATATCTTCATAAAAATAATAAAATTAATTAATTTAATTTTTATAAATGAAAAAAAAAATAATTGTCAAATATACATTTTACATAAAATAAATTTGCAATCCCGAAGAATAACAATAGATTTTCAGTAAAATAATACATTTCTTTATAGTGTCAAATAGTTATAAATATTTATTTTATATGGACCAAAAAATCAATATCGATATAACTATATTACGTTTACGAATAATAGAATTGTCCTTAAAAAAAAAAAAAAAAAAACTCACTTTAAATAATAAATTATCATTTATAATATAAACGTTGTTTATGTACTGCTATTATTTTGTTTAATATTTAGCGTGTAATAGTAAGTTATTTATCTATATATATTTTAATATTTTAATGCATAGAATACCATATTCGTACAATAAAGTTTGATATTTTTGATAGAATTTTGATTGACAATTATTCTGTAGTTCTGAGATACTGTAAATATAAATTCATTGGAAATACTTATGTCCCAAATCATTTTTAGAGGAAAAATAATATTGTCACCAGGGAACACTTATATTTCATGTATTTCAAACCAACTCGCAAAATATGTATCACGAAATTGGCCATCGCCGTCAGTAGAATGGCGACGGAAATAACAATTTCGTCCCCTCTAACTCGATAATATTTTAAACGAACCCTATAGTCAGAACCAGGATTCCCCGGAGGACGCCCTTCTTACCTGCCGTCCGAGATAAATGATAGCTAAAATTGGTTTCTCAATAGCCAAGATGATCGGCCGACGGGGATAGACTCGCAAGCCTTTCGGATGGTCTCCGATCCCGATACCGATTTATATCCCCGTAACCCAATCGATTGTCAATGATTTAGTTTTCGGTATGTTGTTTCTCTTGCCGATAACGTGCATCGGAATTGGTACGGTGAGCCGTGAGGTTGAGGAGAGGAGTAGAGAAGAAAAAAAAATAAAAGGAAGAAAACACTCAACCAGGTATGCAAGAGGGCGGATTCCCACACACACACACGCTTGCGTGCACATACAAACACACACATACATACTCAGACACCGGGTTAGGTCGTATATCAGCCGAAGGGAAACCGGAGCAATAATTTCGGCGCTGTAATACAGCTATAAATCTATTAACGCCACGCCTCCCGTCCCTCGAACCTCACACACACACGCGCGCACACAACTTCCAACAGAACCCTGCCCCGCTCCGCCATTAGCGTTCCAGTATAGAAAACGACGAGAGAACTTTATCCGGATTGTTCTTTGAACAATAGTCGTTAGTATTTCCGACCGTGCTCGTGTTTTGGTGATTCTATAATAATACGCCAAATCCTACTGTTTCATTTCCGACATTATATTATCACGGTGAAAAAAAAAAAAAAGTACCGCGAATAAAATTTTAGTGCTTAGTGCGTAGTAAATTCGTATACATATATATATACGGTCACGGGAAACGTGTACAATGAAAAGGAAATAAAACAATTACTTCGGTGCGCGCTGTAGTAGGATGTAAACGTGGTGTAAATAAATGTTTTGAATCAACGGACATTTTTCGACTACACCGTGGAAATTAATAAAATAAAAATTAAAAAAAATTAAAAATGTAACAACTAATGCCCCTGATTTTTCGTAGACTGGTTAACATTACGATATGATGATAATTTCGACATAGACTTACGCTACCACACATGTTTATTTTACGTATATACACAAATACATTAATATATTACATACTTTTATCGTCCTAACAAACAGTAGTAGTATTGTTATTAAACGTCCACCGCAAAAAAGGGTCTTCTGCATTTTGGCGTTTATTACTATGTTATCTTACCGTTTATTTCCGTAAGACCATCAAATCCATTTTAATTAGTTTACTTCACAGTTTCGTTTCCCGTCGACAATGGCCTTGCGGTCCCACAGGGACAAAAATATATTTTTCAAAGCAGTTATTTTCTCTCTACGTTGTCAGTTTGTGGATAAGAAAATACTATAAAAAAAAAACAGAAGATTTTTTTTTAGTGCTGTTTATCATTATTATTCAACTGGCGTACGCCATTTACACATTTCCGATTTATACCTATTAGCTATCGTGTGTAACGAGAATCGGATCAAAGTCAGTGGATATAGAGGGAAAGTAATTGTGGCATCACAACGGGTGGGCGTTAGAAAATAAAAAGAAAACAGTTAAGTTATAGCAACGTCCAAACGTGTCACGGACGACGGTCAATCCATCTGATGGCGTCTCATGACAATCTTACAACGATAGGTTTAAAAAAATGTTTTCCGTACGATTAATGACTGATTTTTAATATTATTTACTAAAACTATTATCATCTATGTGTGGTGGTCCTTTTTAAATTTGTTATCGTGAATCAGATAATGTCTTTCCAAATAACACTCATATAATTTCGGTATTATTCGCGCACTCGCCCCTAAAAGGTAAAATCGAGAAGTGCCCCTGAATTATAATGCCGACGCGACGTTTCCCGAATCCACCAGTCACGGGCGGGATTTGAAAAACATTTTTTTTTGTTTTTTAGGGAGAAGGGGATGGAACGACCTTTATAATATTATTATCTTTTCTTTATTAATCTGCATGAAACATCACCGCATGCACTCTATTCTCACTACCTACACTTTAAATCTGTATAACGTTTGCAAGTGGCTTACGACAAATATACATTTTCATTAACACATGACGTGAACAACATTATAATCAACGACTTGCGATAATCGCATTTGAATCACACACCTATCCCAGACCTCGCTACACCCGCCCCCGCCCCCGCCCCGCGCCCCACAGAAAACTAGTTGCGTCTGCGCGGCGACTTACAGTCAGACGGGTATATAGCACCTGCCCCGGTACTTAACACGGTATATCGTGTGTAAAAATAATAAAAATAACCACTCGCGTGTACAATGATATCATGACATTATGGTGACGATGTGCGTGTCCTGACAGGAACGGACACATGCTGACACACCGGCACAAAAAGCCGTTCGAGTGCAAGGCCAGCGGATGTGGCAATAAGTCGTACTGCGACGCGCGGTCGCTGCGCCGGCACACGGAGAACCATCACCACCACCGGCCGTCGTCCAACCAGGGCTCGCCGCCCGCGTCGCCGTCCTCGTCCACGAGTTCCGGTTGCATACAGTACGCGCCCGCGCCGATGCCGTCGCCGCCCGGCACGTCGGCGCCGCTCGTCCCTACGATCCACCGGGCGCACCGTCGTCACGGCCGCGTCGTCGGCCACGTCGTCGTCGTCGTCGTCGTCGTCGTCGTCCCGCGTCGTCCACGTCGATGATCGTGTCAGCATCCGCCGCGTCCACCACGGTCGCGTTCGGCTCCATGTCGGCCATTTCGGTTTCGGCGTCATCAGCGTCGTCGTCGTCGTCGTCATCGTCGTCGTCGTCGTCGTCGTCGTCGTCGTCGTCGTTGTCGTTGTCGTTGTCGTCGTCGTCGTCGTCTTCGTCGTCGACGACGATCTCGTCTGCTACGCAGCACCACCACCACCAACAACAGTCACACGACGCGACGCCCAGTCAGCTGCAAAAGCTGCTCAGCGCCGAACCGCTGTCGTCGACCAACGGCGGTGGCGGTGGCGGCGGTAACGGCGGCAACAGCAGCGGCGGCGGTGGAGGAGGAGCACTTTCGTCAAAGGTAAGAGAAGAATATTGTAACGGATATCGTAACGGTATACTGTTTACGATTTGATTTTCCGGCAAGGAAGTATGACTTACCTTAAGATACGAGTTACTATGAGGGAGTCACTTTTTAAACGATCAAAATAATGACATTTTAAATGTCATTTTATCGAATAATGACACGCGATTTAAGTTGCTTTCTTTTTTAATAAAATCACTCGTTACTTAGTTTATATAATATTATATACTCGTATTTAATTTACAAACCAATTGATCACGCGTGCACATGCATCATATAAATATGATTTTTTAACAGTACCTAACATTTTTGTAATGATTATTTGACAAAAAAAATAAATATTTTTTATAAGTAGTCATGTGGGAAATGCATTGTTATTAAGAATAGATCTGAAAAATAAGCAATTCGATTTTACACAATTACTGTCTTTTCTGGTTCGTAAATATAAACATTTTATATTATTTCATATTGTTAATTGTCATTGCTTAGTTAATTTAGCGATAGAAAAATTATAAAAATCCATTAATATTTTTAAAAATAAAAAAAAGTAACTTTAATGGTAATACAATTAATTTTGCATCTCAAAAGTAATGTGCTCGATAAAATATAAACAAAGTAAATTAAAAATAATTTCATTATAATTTTGAAAGATAATACGCAATGTAATTTAATTACAAAAAATGTAACTCACCCTATACACTGTCCCTTAAATTTATGTTGCAACTATCAAGAGTGCTAAGTTAGTAACATCAAGTCATAAGTATAATATTATATTATTTTAATCTACTGACGTCCATACATAATATGTGTACCCGGTCTGACAGTGTTTTTGATACCTACCAAAGTGTTCATTAAAATATAAAATTTTGATCGGACTGCATAAATAACTAAGTTTACATAACTGCTGATAAACACCTTATTGCAGCAATGAATATATACTAAATTGTAGTTATTATTAATATCGTTGATATTTAAGTATGTTTTTTTAATTTTTCAATACCGTAATAATTATGAGTTTGTGAAAATATTTTGAATAACTAGCAATTATTATTAATATGACACAAATAATAATATATTTGTTAAATCAAAGGTATAAATAGGTAGTAAAAACATGAATAAGCGTTAGGTATGTTTCAACTGTAATTAAAATACGATTCATGGGTGTTTTTTGGCATAGAAAATGTGTTTTGTTTATGTTTACAGTAGCGCATACTAGTATGACATAATTAGATAAACTTGATTAAGTGCGCTATGCATTTTATTCATTACCATAACAACGATATGGTAATAGGTATAGCATAACTGCATTTCGAATTGATTAAAAATCATTAAGCCTTCAGTATTCTGATACTCGTTACATTAAAATTATATTTATAAGATGCTGTCTTATGAGAAAATTATAATAATGAATTGCTTACTATATATTTTTATATTTCCATTCACAACATGAATATAATAACGGTCAAATCATACTGTTTTCTATCAACCTTTACTAAATAAATTACAATCTTTGTACAACATTCTCACATTATATTAAATTTTAGGCTCACATTGAATAACGTTACATACTAAATAATATACAATTAACACACATAGTTTAAACAAAATCATTCGATCTCTTTTCATTAAAACCTTCCCTATCTATATGGATAAAATTGGTTAAAAAGGTTAACACACAATAAATATTAAATAATCATTATAAATTATTATTTTTATTATTATTATTATTATTATTAATATAATTAATGATCATAATAAAATTATGTGAGCTTTATGTACAAACTGTTATGTGTGGATATTTTGATTGAATATGCTGTAAACACTATCTTGTGTATAGAAAATATAAATACGGTAAAATATCTTTTAATGGCTATGAAACGTATATTAATTATTAATAGACATTTTTATTTTTACCCTCTCCATAAAATATACGTTTATTGAATAAAATATATCAATAACAAACTTTTTAATAATGTTTTTCAAAAATAAATAAAATTCGTTGGTATGACAGAGAAATTGAAAAGTGACATCTAAACGTACATTTTATTGCGTATTACTTTAATCAGCTGTCATAGGTCAAAGTTTTTTATTTTATTAGAAGAAGACTGTGCTTCTATAAATGTCATCAAATAATTGTTTTATATAGTGTTCGATTGTATTATATCGTATATTTATATATAAATCTTATAACTTTAAACTATGACTGACTAATAAAAAGTTGTAAAAGCAAAATGTTTTAAGCTTTACTTGAAAATATAGACTATGTACCTTTAATAGAAAGCTTCTCAAATTAATTTTTTTCAGACTATTAAATAAATTTATCTTTAAAAATATATATTGTTAAAGATTATAAATTTAATCATGAAAAATAAAAAATAAAACCTGAAAATATACAGTAAATTGAATGTAATTTTTTATAACTCTTCAAAACTATATACCAAAGTAAAAAATTGGAAAAAATCAATAGCTTAAAATAAAATATAACAAACAAATTATCAATTAAAATATATTTTTTAATTTTAGAAAGTTCATAAAATCAATTATAGATGGACTTAAATAGATTTTTTTTAATCTAAAAACAAAAAGAAATACAGTTATGTCTTATACTGATACAACTCAATACTTAACAAAAAAACAGAAAATAATTTCTGTGAATTTAACCTGTAAAAGAAGACTTTTGAATGTTTATAGAATACTGAAGATTGAATGAAAAATATATTACATATACCAAACCAGGGAGATGAATAATTGAATACGAATACAAATAAATTTAAAGAAATAATTATACAATCATTATAGAAACGTGAAAAAATGTTTGTAGAAAATAAAAATAAAAATTTAGTTGGTATCTGAGCTGTGATCAACAGTTTTTAACACAGAAATATGTCTAACGTATATTGTATAAAATAAATTTAGAGAAGGGAATTTGAAAAAGTCAAATACTCATTTACGCGTACCGAATTTATATTGAAAATTAGCAGTAGTGCTATACTACTTATTTGACCTTATGTATACATACATATATATTATCTGCACACGAATAAAATACAGATAATAACAATATGTTTAAAGATCGTATTCACGGGTTAAAAACCTAAACGTTACGGTCGTGAAAAGAGTCTCTTGTTGTAAATTTACATAATATATTATAGGTATACTAATTACCTGTTTACTAAATACAGAATGTGATAATTATAAGCAAGATGTGCACTTCAAACTACATTTTATATACGTATGTGCGAGAAAACGTTTATTCGTCCCGTGCTAGGACCTTATCTGAATCCTTATAGATTAATTCATGCAAAAGCGAATGCATATTTAGCCTGAGTAGTAGGTATGCTGAAACATTGTACATTTTTCAAATAATTTGATTATACCCATAATTTTATTGATTGACATAGTGTATTTCAGCCTATTATTAAATATTGGTATATGTTCAATGTTCATTGTTCCGTATCTCACTGTAATTTAAACTTCAACGATTTTCACATTATTTATGAATGCCCCACAAAATAAATATATGAACTTTATATTTTAGTAATGTTCATTCAAACAGATTTTTTTTTTCAAATATTAAAACATTATGTGCAAATATCAAAATACTTTTACTTCACTAAAATTTGATGTTTTAAAAAAAACAAATTGTCATGTCTTTAGGAAGCTTACATGTTCTTTGTTCCACTAAAAAGCTAGAATTATGTTTAAATTCATCAAAATGTTAAATATGTATTTAAATTAAAAATATTTTTCAAGATGTTCTCAAACACTTTATAAAAAATGTTATATTTTTGCTTTATATAAAATTTTAGTTAAAAATTTAATTGAAGCCATTTTTTTTGATAACTGATAAATATATGGTTATATAACGAGCGTATTATCTATTCCTCATGAATATTTGCAGATAAAAATCTACCCCTTAAAAAAAAAAATCAATTAAATTCAAAAATTACAGGTTATCTACAAAAGTTTAAATTTAATACATTAATTAAAATTTAAGTGTTAAAAAATGACCTATGTTGTACTTGTTTGCATGGTGGAGAATCAAATAAATTTTTAATAGCTTCATACATCTTTAATTATACACATATATATGATATCATACAAATAAAACCGAAAAACAATTTAAAAATAGCAATAAACCATTATCTTGATCTAGTTTAATTCTTCGATAACAATCTGACAACGGCATTTTAATTTTATTTCATAATAACTATGGCTATAAAACATAATTGATTTATTAAAAAAAAAATCCTAGCTTAGACCAAAACGGTGGGTGGATTGTCTCCAGCTCCCACACTTAAACCTACCCCTGAAGTTAACCAAGATTATGTGCATAATATACATATTATACCGACCATAATCAAGAAACAACCCAAAATTTAAGTCCTTATAGTTATGATATTCCAATCTCTTTATAATTTGAATAAAATATTGATGCTAATATTAATTAATCTTCATAATTTTAATTTTAAATATTGCGATGTTTTTTATACTCACTGTTTGTATTTTCCCCTTCATTTCTCAACCATTCTTTATAACTGCCTAATTATGATATCGCTTAAATTATTAATTTTCCACGAAAAGGAAACTTCTCTGACCTCTGTAGTATATTTATTTTTAATTTCACTGTATATTGGCAAAAAAACTCTATTTGAAGTGCATACATTTTATTTATAAATATATAAGCGTTTTATAAGCTCATTTACCAGAATTCTCGAACCGATTATTAATTTCAAAAGACCTTTGGAGTTTGAAAACAGAAATAAGATCGAAATAGGTATATAATACATTATTTATATTATAAATACACAGACGATTTCACAGTCTCTAGAGCTTAGACTTCGTGCAGCTACTTCCCCATATACAACTATAATAATAAACGAGGAGCTTTATAACAATATGTTTGCATATTTATATTTTACCATTCCAATTATTTCATCGAAACTCGATTGGTCGCAAAAATATAATACTATACTCGTATCGGAATATTTATGGTT